GGACGATAGGTAATTTCTCACTGGAGCATCCGAAACGGAACAAAAGTTACGGGTTTTGGTTATAGTAGTGAGTGTTAAATTAAGAGATGCCAATGGCGGCGGGGCCAGCATTGCCGACAGCCATGGGACCGATGATGCAAGCTGTGCCGGCGGTTCTGACGTTTTGGATAAGGATACGATCATTTCTTGGTTCCGAGGGGAATTTGCTGCGGGCAATGCCATTATCGACGCTCTTTGCGGTCACTTGGCGGAGCTTCAAGGAAGGGAAGAAATCGAAGTTCAGCCTCGGAGTTGCAGAGCCTAAGCTGGGTTCCCACATCTCAGGAACGACTAAAATTACATGCCAGAGTGGAGAGTTTGTTCTCGAGCTTCTTCGTGGTGTGCGGTTGCATTTCGATAATTTCATCAGGGACTTGAAGCATGGGGAATTAGAAAAAGTACAGCTTGGCCTGGCATACAATTACAGTAAAACAAAGGTCGAATGGCACGCTATATTGAAAACAAATGTTCCAATGCACATCAATTGATTGCTTTGCATAGAGGAGCCCATGTTTGCTTGACACCTCTGGCCAATGAATAGAAAATGTGTTATTTTGGCTTTATTTTGTGTGAGATTAAACAAATTTCCACGTGAAAGTGACTTTACGGTAAATTCTCATTGGTCCTTCAAATATTATGGGTAAAATCTTTTCAAGGCCCTCTGTCTTTGTAAATTTCCATAATGGTCACTAATACACTCTCTTTTTACCTTATTTCGATCTCTCAATTCTATAATAGTTGCGTTTTAGTCATTATTTTTTGTGTGTTTGGTATTTTAGGCTGATTTTCTAATTTTACCTCATGATTTATCTTTTTTTCTTTTTAGTCACTGTTTTACATTTAATTTAATTATTATTTAGTCCTCCATATTTCTTGGTTAATTTATTTATTATTTTATCTTTTTTTCATTATTATTATTATTTATTATTATTTCTAAATTTTATTCATATTTATTTGTCTATTTTCTTTAATTTTATTATTATTATACTAACATTTTTTCTTTTTTGCATATTTACTTTTATCTAACATATTTAAAATTTTAATTTTAATTTTAAATTTTCGCAATTAAAGACAACTGAAAAATTAATTGGTACCGAAAGGGCGGTTCAAGGGTGCTAATCCTTCCTTGACCGTAACAGACTCCCGAACCCGACACATTTTCTGGTAAAACGCAGATCATGTAAGATGGTGTTCGACCTATCTAAATATTTTTAAATGGTCGGTGGCGACTCTAACCATATTCAAGTCGAAGCCCAATTTCGTGCCCAACCGAAAGACGGTCGCGACACTGTGTCCAACAAATCAGGTATGGTGTTGACCTTGGGTACTGTGTAGACATGTATAGGGGGCAAAATTAGTGTTCAGAATACTTATATTATTTTTTTGGTACCAATATATATGTGTCCAATTAAATTAACGTTAGATTAAAAATTAAACATGCTTTTAAAAAGGCTATTAGGCCAGGTCAGACTTTTAAAAAGGACAGGCCGAGATAAAAATAAAAGTCTGTGATAAGCTATAGGCTAAGCTCAGGCATTTTAAAGTATGGTCTGGCCTATTTCTACCCCTAGCATCATTCATAAATTAAAAAAGAGTGATAGTAAAAGTCATTAATTTAAATAATGTTTAAGATAAATTATATATTAAGTCTTATATATATATATACTGATTTGGTCTCTAAATATGCTTTAAACCAAAATTAACCTTAAATTTTTAATTTTTGAATAATTTAATATAATATTATTCTTATTTATTTTTATTCAATAGATTAATCGCATCCAACAAGAATATGGCACATATCAATATTTAAGATAAAACCTTAAATAAGATTGGCACTAATTAATATTAATAAATTTTTAATTTAATATTAACATGTTTTTAAATTACTTTGAAATACATTGATATATTCTAAGATTTAGTTTTGCATGTTGTTCCATTCACTCCCTAAATGAAATTGTTTAATTGTGGTTTATAGCATTAATGAGTAGAAGCGGGAGGGCCTCAAAGCAATTAATCCCTTTCATACCAAAACATTTGGACCCTACCCCCATTTTGGGTCACAACCCGAGACTTAAGCGGGTCATATCTAACCCTAATTATAAAGTATAAATGAAAAAAAAAATCAATACAAAATAAGTGTTTAAATTATATCTTAAGATAATTATAAGTGTCTATTTTTTGTTAAAATAGATGTTTAATATTTTTTTTGTTATACTTTTAGGTATTTATAATTAAACATATTAAGTTTATATTTTTAAATTTTTAAAAAAATAGAAATGATATTTTAAATAATACTTTTATTAAAAAACTAATACCCGGCGCTCCCCCAATCCCCTCCGTTCAGGGGTGATTCGGAACCCATCTCCTTTTCTCTTTCACACCCCCAAAAAATAGGCCTCCGTCGTGTCAATCGTTGTACGTCGACACTAAGACCAATGAGAAAAGATAAACAAAGAATGAAAATCAAGTCTAGGCGTTCATGTAGTTAAAGCACTAGATTCCCGCTACTTTCGAAGATGGGGCTTAATTGGCAGGAGCATCTGAGGGATACGACACCGTTTGAAACGGTGTAAAAAGAATAAGTTGGCCCATGCAGGTTTCGAACCTGCGACCTTCGCGTTATTAGCACGACGCTCTAACCAACTGAGCTAATAGGCCTTCGAAAACATTTTTAATAATTTATAAATTTATAAAATATGGAAGGTAAAATGGGAATTAGAAGATCCGAATTCAAAAATCACTGGAAGGTGGGCATCTCTGACCTCTGGTTAACAGCCACACGCTCAGACCAACTGAGCTGTTCCAGGTATTTTTTTTCCACATAATCTAGAAATGTTTATTTGTTCGAATTATTTATACAGATGTGAAAGGGAGGAGGAATCTTCGGAAAGTGATTCTCTTATGATAATTAAGACAAATAGATATTGAACAATTATATTTATGTATAAATAAATAAATTTAAGAATATGTTCTTTTAAGATATATTCTCTTTGCTAAAAGAATCAAATAATATATTTGATATTTAATTTATATTTTAATCAAATTCATACATATTTTTATTGACCGGTTATTATATTTAATTTGAAAATTATATATTTTGATATTTAATTTGAAAATTATATATTTTGATATTTAATTTATATTTTAATTAAATAAAATATTTTATTAACTGAATTAGATCGATGGTAGTATCTATAACTTTAGGGTTTAATAGTTGGAATATTTATGTAGTATTATACTTAGTGTAAATTATATTCTATAACACTCAATTATTAGGCCGGTTATAAAAATTTAAATTATAATTTAGTCAGATAATTAAAATACTATCATAAGTATATCGGTTTATCGTTAAAATTAAAACGAAAATCTAACATAATTTGATATAATAACAATTTTGAAATCCATTAATTTATATATTTTATCCATACGAGTGTGCAATTTCAAAATTGATATTAACAAATTGCTTAAAAATTATAGAATAAGATTAAGACAAAATAAATTTTCAAATACTAAATGTTAAACTTGCATATATTAATTTAGAATTATTATTTAGGCTGTTACAAAACTGCCACCAACATCTAGTGGTTCCTTATCACTGCGTGTAAAGGGTTTCATAATTTACTTATTTTCTTCGAAGTGTTCCATCGACGACTTGTCCCCCCCCCCCCCCGCCACCAAAACACCTAAAAATAAACCATATTCATAATAATACTGGTTAATAATATATGAAAGTATCACATTCGAAAGACTAAAAGGTTAGTCGTAATAAAAGTATAAAGGTGATGATAAAGATAAGACAAACTAAGCTAAGTTATGGGAAACGATATTTTTAGAGCGACGAATACCATGACTTTGAATTCCACGATGATCTTAAAGTATCCAACGAGAATTTAACGAGGTGAGAATCAAACATCGACATATTAAGTTGTGAAGATGTCAAATGACGAATAATATTTGTGCAGAATCGTCTCGGATATTCAGGGAATTGAACGGAATTTAAAAATAAGCCCTTATATAATGAAAATTATTTGATTACATTAAACAATTAATTTAATATTACATTAATAAATTATAAAAAATGATTACGTTATTGGCCTAAATTATAAAAGTAAAATTGAAAAAAACTAGACATCTCGATTATAAAGATAAAAAAATGAGATTAAAAAAAATTAGAGACATCAATTATAAAGGTAAAAGGTGAGATTGAAAAAATTAGGGGCATCGATTATAAAGGTAAAAAGTGAGAGTAAAAAATTAAGGACTTAAATTATAAAAGTAAAAAGTGATATTGAAAAAAAATTAGGGGCCTCAATTATAAAGATAAAAATTGGAATTGAAAAAAATTGGGTAATCAATTATAAATGTAAAATAGTAGGATTGAAAAAAATAAGGACCTCAATTATAAAGACAAAAAATTAGATTACAAAGATTAAGAATTTCAATTATAATGATAAAAATAAAATTAAAAGACTCAATTATAAAAATAAAAATAAAATTATAAATTAAACTAAAATTGAAGAAAACAACAGTAGAAGAGGATGATGACACACATAATAATCTTTTATAAGAAAATAAGGTTAAATATATGTCATTAAACTAGGTTAAAAAAATCTATCACTAAAACTTTATAAGTTATCAGATAATTATTAAATTTATTATGTTATTATAAAGTTTTTGTCAGTACACATTATAAATAGTAATAAATTTTGATTAGTTTAAGGATCATTTTGTATAAGTTGGATAAATTTAATGATCATTTTATAATAGTTTGATAAAATTTAATGACCATTACGTAATACTTTGATAAGTTTAATGATTATTTTGTAACTTCAGAAACTTTAATGGTCAAAAAGATCATTTTGACTTAAGTTGGCGATAATTTGTGTACTTTACCCATACACAAAATGAAAATTAAACTATATAATTTCAGGCGAATTCCCGAAAAAATAATTAAATAATTCGGAGTGTCGCAGTGGTGAAAAAAAATGGATTCAATAGAAGGCTGGGATTTTCTGGATTATAGTTTCATCGAAACAAATACATCTACGGATGTATTTTTGCCCAATTACAGGTTCGTCTTTATTTTTTATTTATGAAAATAATTTCGATTTAATCTAGGTTTTTTTTGTCAGTAACTTAATGAATTAATGGTGTAATATTTTTTCTTGAGATTTAATTTCAATTTATTGTTTGATACTATTAATGTTTCAGTTGTGGTAGAGAAATTGAATTCTCATCCGGAAATGCTGTGCAAGAGAAGGGATTCGTCGATGGAGATTGCGCGGGGAAGATGTATTGTTCCAATTCATATTTTGATGATGTTTTCTTAGCGGTTTTAGGTTATTTGATTGTTGAATATAATACATAAACATGAATCTAAAGTGCGCATTTTCTTTGGACTGATAACTTGTTATCGAATTTGAGATCCATTGCAATAAAAAAACATTAGGATTTTCCTTTTCGAGTTTTTATATAGTTTTGTTTGCTTTATTGTTATAAGCCTTAAATTGATTGCATTTTTAGGCGACGCAATGGATCATGCAGCAAGCTAGGGACAAAAGCATGCCGTGAGAAATTAAGACGAGAGAAATTGAATGAAAGGCAAGTATCTTCCTCCATTAAATTCTTCAAGAAATTGTTCTAACCTTTGATATTTTCTTGTTATGATTTTTAAGCAAGGGTATTATTTTCATTGTTAAAAATTGTGATAATTTTGAGTTGATTAGTAGTTGTATACTTCATTTTCATCTCTTTCATGAAGGTAAGATATAAGTTAGCTCGATCGCGGGTATGCCTTCAAAGCACATTAATAAGCCTGAAGGTCTAAGAATGAGATTTTGTTATTCTCATGCAGGTTTGTGGATCTAAGCTCTATTTTAGAGCCCGGGAGACCTGCCAGGACTGAAAAATCCGCAATACTAGATGATGCAATTAGAGTTTTGACCCAACTAAGAACCGAGGCTCAGGAGCTCAAAGAAACAAATGAAAAGCTATTGGAGGAAATAAAAAGTTTAAAGGTTAGTTATACACACAAACACACCAACATAGACAAGTAATTCTCTGTAATCTGCTCAAATATCATTATTCAGTGAACTGCTAGTCTTTCAACTTTAATTTGTTAAGTAGCGTTCTTTGGCTTCTGACGGTGTATATTGCTGAATTTAATGTTGGTTTATCATACCATTTGGATCAATCAGTTTATTGTTTGATATTATGAGTTTAATTATTGTGCTCATTTGTGCCTCCATTGGTGGAATTGGAAACCTGTTTATTGCCACGTCTCATCATTATTGTAAATTTGATCATTTGCATTTGTATGCTACTTATGATTGAAAATACCATGGGGTTTCCTAGCTTATAAATCATGTTACGAAATCTGGTTTCTTCATCGTGGTGTCAAATATGTTTCTCCCACTATGTTCTGTAAAAACAAGTTGGCCTTTAACCAAGTTAGCAAACAAAAGTTGAGCTTGGAAAGCAGGCAGAGTAAACTCCAGAGTCCAGACTATTGGAATTAACCGAGGAAACAGACTCAGCTGTAACATGTATAGATATCAATCTTGTTGATGAATGATTTGTTCCGTTATTTCATATTGCATCATAAATAACTAAATAATATCTTCTGTTTGTTTCCCGTTTTCCTTCATTAACTTTCCAATACAACAGGCTGAGAAGAATGAAATTCGTGATGAGAAGCTTGCACTGAAGGCACATAAAGGAAAGATAGAGCAGCAGCTGAAAACAATGACTGCCTCACCAGCTGGGTATCTTCCTGCTCACCCAGTTGGGTATCATGCTGCAGCAAACAAGATGGCAGTTTTTCCGGGTTATGGTTTTGTCCCAATGTGGCAATATTTACCTCCTTCAGTACATGATACGTCTCAAGATCATGAGCTTAGGCCCCCAGCAGCGTAGTGTGCTTTTCTTCATTTTATAAACACTGGGACAATCTCAAATATGTTTGAGTATCCTCCCATGATTTTGGCCTTGGCTGATCGGTAAATATTCGTTTTTTGAATACTGTGAATTGGTGTAACTTGTTTTTGGAGTTTGATCAAGTTAGGCCAACCCACAGCATAATTTTTCTTATGAAATTTATGTTTGGGGATGTGAAGAAATGACAACGATATTCTACGCAAATTATTATCGAAGATTACCACCAGATTTTTGTATTTTAACCAGGAAAACAAGAGAATAAAAAGGGGAGGAACAGCTACAGGGAGCATAAAATCCAACATTTCTTCTATTGAGATTTGCGAAGGATAAAACTTCTGTACAACTCATTGTACCATAACGTGGATTGCATTCAGTTGAAAATTTTTAGTTTATGAGGTGAATTAAACTCGATGATAACATGTGTGTTATGTCGGTTATAGTCGGTTTACTTCTTTTGATTTAAACGGAGAGTTGTAGTTGGTTGTTTTCAGATGGTGATTGATATCAGGTTATCATTGGGGCCTATTGGAGACGAGGAATAATGTATCATTTTTCTAGTCTTGCATGGAAGTTTATATCTTGACTTTTAATGTTAATGTGAGGTCTAAGATTATCATGACTCTACATAAGTTGGCATGATATATAAATGTGTCCGTCTGATACTAGATTTTGATATTGGAAAAATTTTGGGGCTTGCCAATAATCTTTATCAAAGATTAATTGATGGACAAGGGTTTCGTCTTTCGTAAGAATTTCCCGGGGGACTTCAATAAGAGGAGTTGTTGTTACTCGCATTTATTGGCGGAGAAAGTAAATTTTATTTAGAGGTATAACAATCGTTCCCCTTGATTGAGGGATTACCACAAAACGGTTTGATCTGAGACAAATATTTGATGGTGTTATCAATGACTAGCTAACTTTGCCATTGGAATGTTGATGAGTCCAACTATGCAACAATTTATAGAAATCGTTTCTAAACTGCTAGTAAAACTTATTGTAGTAAAATAATAACTTAGATTGATTGGCAAGTAATAATACAATAATAGAGAAATACAATTATTTATTGTGTCACTGTAGAAATCATTGTGTTAGAAATAATTTTGTATGGATTTGTATAATTATTATAATGGATGTTGTCCTTCAAGGTTAATGTAATCTTTCAAACCTTGTACACTCGAAGTGAGGATGCGAAATCCACTTGCGTTGTTTTTTTCAATAATGTTGTTTTTTTCAATAAAGATTTATATCTTTTATAGGTATAATAGAAGGATAAATTTATCAAATTATAATTATCTACTTCAATCATTCCCTAAATATAAGTAACTCATTCCTCAAACTTAACCCTCGCTATTTATATTACTCACTCTTGATGTTTGTGAATTAAGCAAATTGGATTGTGGGATTATTCTCACCTCTATAGTATCTGTTTAGATTAATTGATTAATAAATCAAATACCAGTGATTATATAAAAAACGATCACATTTATACCAAATGATCCCTCAATATACCAACGAAACCAACTGGACCCAATATTACCCTTGCTGCCCCATCGAAGTTAAATTTAAGACATCTCATTGGAGGAGGCGACCAAGAAATCCAACCATTGGGCTTCTGATATCAAACCATCACTGTTAACAGCCTAAACCCATTAAAGAGAACGTAATTTCGCAAGGGAAAAGAACCTCAGCAAATGACGAACTTTTCCTGTTGAAAGTGAGCCTGTTACGTGCCAGCCACAAAGACCAAAGAGTGGCAGCGCAACGCACCAGTTACCCCTGTTTCGAGATCCCAATCAGATCAATGTCCCAACAGCCTTACAAGAAGTTCAAAAATGGTCTCGGGCAACACCATATAATATTCCACCCGTCCATATAAAGATACCAGCTATTTATGGTCATTTCTTTTATTTTTCAACATACCACCCTTTTTTTTAATGTGAGAATGAGGCTGCAGCCATTACATTAACCCCTTATACGTATATGGGGGGGATTTATATCTCTAAGCAAAATAGGAATCAAAGGATCTGTTGGTTATCTAAAACAGCAAAGAGCTCATCTTGCGGGACATTGAGTTTGGTCATGAAGTCCGCTGCTGAATTTGCCTCTCGTTGCATTAACTGGAAATCAACGCTCCATGCATTATTGCAAAGAATGGCAACAAACCTTACCAGGTTATGTGACCTTGTTAAAGGAGGTGATAGCAATTTATATACGTCTGCATAATCCATCTGAACAACTCTTTCAAAACCAACTTCAAGCCTTCGAGGACACCCCAAAGTTCAGCTTGGAGAACGGATGAAGTTCCTAGCTGTTTGTTGAAGGCTGATAAGAAATTGCCCTCATGGTCTCGGAATAAGCCACCAGCTGAACCTAAGTTTGTCGAGAGAGGAACAGCTCCATCCGTCTTGATGCAAATTCCCCACAGTTCGGAGGTGACCATTGGATTGTTTCCTCGGTTGGGGACGAGACATGAGCAGAAGCTTCAGTTAGAGTTGCATAATATAGCCCAGGTATGGCTGATGTGAATCAAGGATGGCAGATCAATGTAAGCTCCCTGAAAAGGCAGAATGTTGCGTCTGTTCCATGCTTGCCAAATGATCGACAAGAACATGATGTTCCATGGACATTCATAATTTGCTATATGCCTCAAACAACTTAAATTAGCCAAAAGTCAATCTTCAATGGGGAGATCAAAAAAGTTATCACAGGGAAGGAACTGAGCTAACGAGGACCACAAGGCATGAATTAGTGTGCAGTCTCAAATAATATGCAATGTGGTTTCATTCGGAGCGTTACAAGCAAAGCAAGTTGAGTCTTAACTCAAGGCCGACGACATCTATTCTGATTAGAAAGGATTTTATCTTTCATTCAAGCCATAATAAACCACAGTCCACAGACACGTTTAGGACTGGCAATCTCCAAATAAGCTTCCAACGTTGATCATTCTCATTCCAAAGTGGTAAGTTATAAGCACTCTACAATTGTGTTAGAAGTATAACAATATGGGACACCTCAATGCATGCAATACCAAATAATTGATACGTAGAGACAAAACCAAATACAACCAAGAAACATATTCGTAAATTCTTTTTATGGTGATTCAACAAATATCGACAAAGGACAATAAACACCTCGATAAGATCTTGTCGCAAAGTTTGTGTACATGAATCAAGAATAAAACAAAACGATTAATATCATGGAAAAATTAAATAATCGAAAGGAGTATAAAGATAAATACACAATTAGAACCGGAACAACTGATTGGAAACGAGTTGAGGCCTGCAATGAGATGATCAGCACATAGTAGCACAATTGCTGAGATCACGAACTATTCTCTGTCTTCGTCTATCACCGGGAAAAAAACTAGAGGAGAGAAAACTAATGAGAGAAAAATCTTGACCTAATGAAGCATTAATGAGAATCTAGCAATCAAGCAATTTCCAAAATAAATGTTTTAATTAAAGGAACCTTTTAATATTTATCCTTTTAATTCCAAAAGAGATTTTGGAAAGATAGCTTCTATTTGAGGAAAATATCTCACATTTAGGTTAAAATATTTGCAACCCCACAAAGAGCCTGACCGGTTCAGACATTAACATTACCCACATCGTTCACCTCTGCACATTTATGAACCAACAATTGGTTTCACATTTTCCTCAACAACATTTGGATCAATTTCTCATTCAAAACTCCAAAATCGATGTGGTGATAAACTCTACAATCGATGATTGCATAGGATAGGTAAGTGTACTCCTTTGAACCTTCCTTGTGTCGACATATTTACTTTACTAGCTGACAAGTAGACGTGATATCCTTGAACTATTATGTCGTTTGTGTAAATGATGATATGATATACTTCACACAACTACCCCTATGACAAGAATTTAGTTCTCATGGGTATGTCCTTAAAGCCATGGACATCGCTTGGTTTTGCAAGAGTTTGAATGAACTATGGCCAATAGTCTCCTTAAAGCGGTCCCACTTCACTCTCACATAGGCGACTTATGTTGCTCGACTCATCGAAGCACACAATGGTCATAAAAAACTTTGCTTAGCCTATACCAATTTGATCACTGTTTACATCATAAGAATGGACTTGGGATAATAAACCCCTATAGTGATCGCACACGGTTTATACAAGTAGGTTGTCCCTTTGAACCTAGATATTGAGATCTCCAATCAACAAGGTAGATTTTTTCCTTCACATAAAGCCTTTAATTTACTGGTATTTAGTCTCATTCCTTTCAAATTTTCTCAACTTGATCTCAATATTAACCCTTCAGTTAGTGGATCTGCGATGTTATCCTTTGATCTTAGAGAATCAATAGTGGTAACTCTATTTAAGATCAATTGTGATATTGTGTTGATGATGTATATATTTCAACTTACCATTATACATAAATTTATTTGCTCTGCCAATTAATATTGCGGGCACAAACTTTGACCATTCAAGAATATCCTCCAAAAAATTCAAAAGGCATTCAACTTATTCTCTAGACTTGTCTAAATCTACAAACTCAAATTCTATTATGAATTTAGTTATATCCATTTTCTTGAGGATTTCTATGACATGACTCCTCATCCCAATGTGAAACTGTTAGGTATGACTCATAAATATACTGGTAAAGCTAATTATGTAATTATGTACCAAGTTTTTTTATTATAAATAGAGATGTAACCTAAACCTATGAGATATTGAATAAAACTTCTAGCGCCATCTAGGCACCGAGGACGTAAGCACATTGTCGAACCTCGTTAAAAATTCTAGTGTTCTTTCATTTTCTTTACCCAATTCTTCAACAGAAACATATTCACTTGTACATTTGATATCTTGAACATCATATATTCAACTGCGTTGGAGTATTCTTCTAAGGTAGCATGATATTGGGATAATACAATCCATACACTTAAGCATATATCTTTGTTTCAACCTTTTGTTGATTATATAGACTTATCTTTATTGATAGTCTTTGATCATCTTTCTTAGTTTTATAAGGGAATATATTATCAAAGAATGAGATATTCTTTGTTTCGTTATCACGTTCTTGTGAATCACGGGTTCTTTGATTTATACACAATATATCGATAAGTCTTGCTATAATCTACATAGCCAAAATAATCCACCGATTTGGAATTTCGTTCCCTTCAATAATGAGATCATTATCTTTATAAGACAACCCACATTTTAAAGAAATTGTAGAAAATTTTCTACATTTTTCATAACTCATATGGTGTCTTGTCTTTTTTTTATAAAAACCTTATTTAAAAAGTAATTAGTTGAAAACCCA